GGTGGGGGAACCGCATGCGAACTGCGCCACTGGGGCCTTCGGTGGAGCTCCCTATGGTGCCACGAAACGCTGCCCTGGGTGGGGGAAGCGCATGCGAACTGCGCCACGGGGGCTTTCGGTGGAGCTCCCCATGGGGCCACGAAGCGCTGCCCTGGGTGGGGGAACCGCATGCGAGAGCAGCCACTGGGGCCTCCGGTGGAGCTCCCTATGGGGCCACGAAACGCTGCCCTGGGTGGGGGAACCGCATGCGAACACCCCCACTGGGGCCTTCGGTGGAGCTCCCTATGGGGCCACGAAACGCTGCCCTGGGTGGGGGAACCGCATGCGAACACCCCCACTGGGGCCTTCGGTGGAGCTCCCTATGGGGCTACGAAACGCTGCCCTGGGTGGGGGAACCGCATGCGAACACCCCCACTGGGGCCTTCGGTGGAGCTCCCTATGGGGCCACGAAACGCTGCCCTGGGTGGGGGAACCGCATGCGAACACCCCCACTGGGGCCTTCGGTGGAGCTCCCTATGGGGCTACGAAACGCTGCCCTGGGTGGGGGAACCGCATGCGAACACCCCCACTGGGGCCTTCGGTGGAGCTCCCTATGGGGCTACGAAACGCTGCCCTGGGTGGGGGAACCGCATGCGAACACCCCCACTGGGGCCTTCGGTGGAGCTCCCTATGGGGCCACGAAACGCTGCCCTGGGTGGGGGAACCGCATGCGAACACCCCCACTGGGGCCTTCGGTGGAGCTCCCTATGGGGCCTACTCCCTATGGGGCCACGAAACGCTGCCCTGGGTGGGGGAACCGCATGCGAACACCCCCACTGGGGCCTTCGGTGGAGCTCCCTATGGGGCTACGAAACGCTGCCCTGGGTGGGGGAACCGCATGCGAACACCCCCACTGGGGCCTTCGGTGGAGCTCCCTATGGGGCCACGAAACGCTGCCCTGGGTGGGGGAACCGCATGCGAACACCCCCACTGGGGCCTTCGGTGGAGCTCCCTATGGGGCTACGAAACGCGTGAGAGGTGTGCCGAGAGCAGAGGCAAGGAGGGGGAGGAGGGGGAGGAGGAAGGAGAGGAACGCGGGGCACCGTCTCTTCAAAACGAGGACCCAACACCACAGGATGGTTGGGAACAATAGGGAAATCAATGTGTTTGGCCTTCTGAGGCCCTCTCGGGGCTCTCTCTGACCGTCTGGAAGCCATCTGAACCATCTGGAGGCCCTCTTGGACCGTTTTCGGCTCCTTCTGGTGGCCTCTGGGGCCGTCTTGGGACGATGTTTGGGGCCTCTTGGGCCGTCTTGGGGCGCCTCTGGGGCCGTCTTGGTACGATCTTTGGGGCCTCTCGGGCCGTCTGGGGCCAGCTGAATAGGGGAGAACCCCGAAAAACCTGCAAAACTTTAGGGATATCCATGTTTTTGGCCTCCTGAGACCCTCTCGGAGGCCCTCTTGAGGGCCTCTGGAGCCGTCTCGAGACTCTCTTGGACCGTCTGGAGGCCATCTGAAGCTCTTTTGGAGCCGTCTTGAGGCCCTCTGAAGCTGTTTTGGGGCCCTCTTCGGCCGTCTTGGGGCCCTCTGGCCGGTTCACCGGAACAAATACCAAAAAAAAATGCCATGGGAGCCGCCTGGGAGCCGCGTCAATCGAAAGAAAACTAGGGAAGCAGGCCATTCACCTGGGGCTCGCCCTGCCACCCCCCTCGAACTCCCCCTTGTTAATTCCTTCCGACTAAACAGATCGCACGCTACGCGCGCTTTCCGTCACCTCGCTTCACTGCCATACAAATTCCTGAAGAAGAGCTGCGCGGGAACATGCTTCTGTACTCATGCGAGGCGTGCGTTCCGCGAACGCTGCCTTGAGCCAAACAGTGCCGTCGGCCGGCAGCTGCTGGGCTAACATGCTGCTACGCTCCTCACCCAGTCGTGGAGCAATATGCTGACGCTCCTGGATCCTCTCCTCCTCCTGCTCCTCCTGATCCTCCTGCTGCTGCGCCCGCTCTAGACACTAAGGTCTGTACCTGCCGCGATGCCCGAGGCCCACCGCGAGGGGACGAGGAGCCAAGCAACCACCCACATCCCCGACCCCACCGACCTCCTCTGAAGCATACTCAAGAGAGGCAAAGTCCAGACAGAGTAACCCGAAACGGCGACCGAACACTACGAATGGACTCACCCCGTATGGACGTAGCCTCTCCTGACACACATAAACGAGGGAGCCTGGGCAGCATCGCGGGAGCGGGGGCCGCGAGCCTCTGAAGATCTTGGGAATCGCTAGGCGGCACAGCCACTCCCAACTCCCGAGACCAACCTCATCCTGCTCCTCCTGCTTCTTCTCCTCCTCCTCCTCCTCCTCCTCCTCCTCCTCCTCCTCATCATCCTCATCATCATCATCATCATCATCATCATCATCATCATCATCATCATCATCAGCATCATCATCATCATCATCATCATCATCATCATCATCATCATCATCATCATCATCATCATCATCATCATCATCATCATCATCATCATCATCATCATCATCATCATCATCATCATCATCATCAGCATCATCATCATCATCAGCATCATCATCATCATCATCATCATCGTCATCATCATCAGCAGCAGCAGCATCATCATCATCATCAACAACATCATCATCACCGTCATCATCATCATCATCATCATCATCATCATAAGCAGCAGTATCATCATCATCATCAGCAGCAGCAGCATCATCATCAGCACATCAGCATCATCATCAGCACCATTAGCATCATCACCAGCATCACATATCATCAACATCATCAGCATCATCAGCATCAACATCATCAGTATCGCCATCATCATCAGCAGCAGCATCATCAGCATCATCATCAGCATCACAGCATCATCAGCAGCATCATCATAATATCATCATCAGCAGCAGCAGCATCATCATCACCAGCATCATCAGCATCATCATCATCAGCATCATCATCAGCCGCGCGTCCGCGACTGCACCACCCTCCCAGCCACCCCTTGGGCGTCGCTTCATGGGGGGGGCGCTACATGGGGGGAGGAGGAGGAGGAGGAGGAGGAGGAGGAGGAGGAGGAGGAGGAGGAGGAGGAGGAGGAGAAAGAGTCACTCCTCGGGCCATAAAGGGCCCCCCTCCAGGGGCCCCAAAGGGCACCTTTTCTGCAGCCCTCGCTGCCGCCCCACTTGTCACCCCTCCATTACACGACGCCCACACCCCCACCCCCCCGCACGTGTGACGTCCTGATTGTTTCAATAAGCGGTCCCCGGTAGTCCCGGTTTTTCGTCCTGAATCGTTTTGTGCCGGTCCTGGGGCCCAGCGAGGGCCCCCAGAGACCGAAAATAGCCAAGAACCTCCCGTCCTTTTTTTAATTAGCCTGGCGAAGGACCCAACCATACGCAGTTGTGAATACCGCAACCGTGAATAATATCTTCGCCCGCGCTCCCTATGGGGCCACGAACCGCGTGAGGGGCGTGCCGACATGCGTGGCGGGGCACACAACACGAACGAAGACGATAGGTCTGTGTGCGAGAGACTGACAGCGGGTGATTCATCCTCCCCGATCTTCATCCTCCCCATCCTCATCCTCGTATGGTCATCATCATAATCCTCCTCATCCTGACCCCCCTCAACCTGACCGGAGTTGCCTCGCCATCACCAGTAGCCGTGAGCCCTCCAAGAGAACGAGCTCGGGGGGAAGAGGTGGGAGGAAGCAGGAGAAAGAATGGGGCGGGAGAGCGCAGGAGGAGGAGGGAAAGACAAGACAATAGGGACGGAGTCGGGAGGCAGAGGGTGGCTGGATGGAGTTTCCGGCTAGGTCTGGGCTCGCTCAAAACTGTGTGGGCTCGCCTCTGGACCTCGATCTCGGCCCCCTGGGTCCGCCTTCGGGCCCCGGAGCTCTGACAAAAATTAATTACTCCGATCCTCGTGAGGGGTGCGCCGACATGGGGCGGGGCCGCCATGCGAACCCTGCCACTGGCGCCTTCGGTGGAGCTCCCTATGGGGCAACAATCCTCGTAAAGGGTGCGCCGAAATGTGGCGGGGCCGCCATGTGAACCCTGCGACTGGGGTCTTCGGTGGAGCTCCCTATGGTGCCACGAACCGCGTGAGGGGTGTGCCGAAATGTGGCGGGGCCGCCATGCTAAAAGTGCCACTGGCGCCCTCGGGGGAGCGTCCCGCGGAGCCACGAGCCGTGTGGGGGATGCGCCGAAATGGGCCGGGGCCGCCATACGAACCCTGCCACTGGCACCTTCGGTGGAGCTCCCTATGGGGCACTTAGGACATTAGCTCGAGCTCCCTATGGGGCCACGAAACGTGTGAGGGGTGTGCCGAAATGGGGCGGGGCCGCCATGCGAACTTTCCCTCTGGGGCCTTAGGTGGAGCTCCCTATGGGGCCACGAAACGTTTGAGGGGTGTCCCGAAATGAGGCGAGGCCGCCATGCGAACATTCCCTCTGTGGCCTTAGGTGGAGGTCCCTAGGAGGCCACGAAACGTGTGAGAGGTGTGCCGAAATGGGCGCGGTGCCCGCATGCGAACGCAGCCACTGGGGCCTTCGGTGGAGCCCCCTATGGGGCCACGAAAAGTGTGAGAGGTGTGCCGACATGGGTGCGATGCCCGCGTGCGATCGCAGCCACTGGGGCCTTAGGTGGAACTCTCCCTATGGGGCCACGAAACGTCTGAGGGGTGTGCCGAAATGGGTGTGGTGCCCGCATGCGAAGGCAGCCACTGGGGCCTTAGGTGGAGCTCCCTATGGGGCCACGAAAAGTGTGAGAGGTGTGCCGAAATTAGTGCGGTGCGGGGGAGGAGGGGGGAAGGAGGAGGAGGAGGATGAGGAGGAGGAGGAGGAGGAGGAAAAGGAGGAGGAGGAGGAGGAGGAGGAGGGAGGAGGAGGAGGAGGAGGAGGAGGAGCTCCTCAAAACGAGGACCCAACACCACAGGATGGCTGGGGGAAAAAAAACGGCGCGATCGTGCCTGGGCCCGCGGCTGCGCGGGGGGGGGGGCCGCGCACCTGCCCGGCCCCGGCGACAGGTTGCGCGGCGTGGGGTAGCGCCGCAGGTCGCACTCGCGGGAAGGGGCCGGCGCGCCCGCACGACGGCGGGCTCGTGCCGTGCGACGTCAGTGTCCGACGCCACGCGCACGGAGCGTCGAACCTCGAGCGACCGCGGCCTTCCGGTCGCGCAGGATCGTTCGAGAGCTGACGGGCCGATCTCCCACCACCGCTGCCACAGGTAGGGGAGGGAGGAGGAGGAGGAGGAGGAGGAGGAGGAGGTGGAGGAGGAGGAGGAGTCGCGATCCCATAGGACGACGCGCCGAATTCGCATCAGGACGGGACGGAGCGGCAGGAAAAGACGAGAGAGCGCATTCGAACACAGTGCGGGACCCCAGGGCATTACGAGCCCAGCCGAAGCTTCACGGCAGTGACAGGAGGACCCACGGGCGGAAGTCCAGAATCGGCCAGGCCGAAATCCCAGATCCGAAACAGAACGAGTTTGAATATGGAGCGAGCTCAGCAGCTCAAGATATGGAAAGCCGGCCGGGCCACTGGACGGCGTCGTCCGTGACGCGGAGCCTGCGGGGAATGGGGAGGGGAGGGGCCTTGAAGGCCCTTCATACAGATGTCCCTCCGCCATCGCCTCTCGGGGGTGACATTCCCAAAACAGTTGGGTTCGCGCCGTCCTGGACGAGAAAGCCCCACACTTACTGCACCCCACAAAACCCCCATAGCCCCGCGCACTCTCGGGATGGACTTCCCCAGAGCGCGGCAACAGGGCCTTCGGCGCCACGGCGTCGGCCCTCGATGGGGGTATTCCCCGACACGCGCGCTTCGCACCCCATTCGATGTCGCGGTCGCAACGGACCCGTCGACGGCCTCCTGAGGCCGCCCAGGCCCCACCAGGATTCCCGCAAAGCGAAGCCTTTAGCAAAGCGCGACGGGGGGAGGCGGCGGCGGCGCAGCAGAGGAGGAAAAGGCCAGAGGGGAGGAGGGGACAGGCGAGTCGAGGCGAAAGAAGGAGGTACACTGGGGTGGGGGGTGCAGGTCGAGGCCCCGAGGAGCATCCTCGGCCCGGTCTGGACGGCGCCCACCCTCGGAGGAGGAGGCGAAGGAGTCCAGGAAGGAAGGAGGCTCAGGAGTCGGGGTCGAAGGACGAATGGGGGGGGGCACTACCCGAGGTCTGACCACACTGCGAGACTGGTCCTCGACGGCGACATCCTCCAGACGACGACGACGACGACGACGATTGGCGCCAGCTTGCGTCGTTTGGCCAGGAGCCAACGGCCCCTCGATGTTCTGCGCCGGGAGCCCGTCGATGGCCCCGTCGCAAGACAGCTTCGACCTGGAAAGCTCCCCCGAGCCCCCCCGGCCCATCAGGGGTCGTTTCCTCGCGGAAGCGTCATCTGTGGGCGGGGCCAGAAACGCCATCGCAGGGCAGACCTCTCGCCAGAGCCTCCCGAGGCCCCTGCGGTTTCGAGCGAAGCGAGGGCGGTGGCGACGCCGCCATCCTGGTGACGCGATGACTGGCGAGTGAACCTTTTCACTCATCACCGCACGGACTCCACCCTGCCGCTGCTGGCGCCGCCGTCCTCGCTGGCCCAGCGCGCCTGCGCCTCCTGCGGCGCGATGCCGCGGCCGCCTGCCCGCGGCGGGAACCCCGTCGCCCAGGGCGCCGGGCTCCGCCTGCACGTTGCCCGTCCAGGCGGCGACCGGCCGCGCAGCCTCGCGCAGTTTCTTGCGTTCGTCGTAAGCTTCCTCGGGGAAGCCGTGGAGCTCGGCACCCTTCTTGGCGGCCACGTCGGCGAAGTCGTTGCCCATCTTGTCAATGCCGTCGCCCGCCTCGATGCGCACCCAGCGGCCCTCGACCCACGCGACCCTCAGCCGGTCGGACAGGCCGCCCAAGTCGTCGATGGAGCTCCAGAGCTGGCGCCAGAAGTCCACGCTGTCACGACCGACGCGGGCGCAGTGCGCCTTGCCGAAGGCGAACGATTCCACGATGCCAAGGCAATCCGTCTTTCTGCGCAGGGGGAGGTGGCCGCGCTTGAGCGCCTGGAGCACGGCGCAGCTCCCCCCCCACTGAGCCGTCTGCCAGGGGCCAGGCAGCGGCCCGAAAGGCATCCCTCGAAGGCGGCGCCCGCTGAGGATGGCGACGCCCCAGTCGGCGCGGCTGGCCTCTGGCCAATACAGCGGGCTTCGCGAAGATCCACCTGTGCAAACCGCGCCCGTGACGACCATGGCCTGACCCCCCGCGCGCTGCCGCCACCGCTGAGTGCCCGGGGCAGCGGCGCGTCAGGCAGCATGGCACGAGGAAGCAGGGCGCGCGCGAAGAACAGGTTGTTGGCCTCCGCATTCGTCGCCATGGCCATGAGCTCGTCAAACGCCCGCCTCCGCATGCCAGTCGTCTTGGGGCATCCCCAGGAACGGTGGTGGTGATCTCCGCGTTGACCTCAGCAAATACACATCGGCGAGTCCGCATGCCCCATCTCGTGCAATCAGCACCGGGGCCACTGAGCCCCAATGATAGTTGGACGATGTGCACCTCTTGCCTTGGGAGACAGATGCCAAGCGGTGGCCTCGGGCTGCACGTGCATCATGGCCGCGGGAGGCTACATCCAGTATCCACATGGGTCGCGCGGTGGAGAAGGATGCTCGGGCGCATGTTCCTGTTGGCCAACTCTTCCAGCTCGGCTGATCTACAACTGCGCCTCGCCACAGCGCGAACCCATGACGGAGCGACATCAGTGAGCCTCAAATGCATACCACTGCCACTCCCCAGTTGCACTGCAGAGTGAGCCCTCCAACCCAAGCGGCGTGCGTTGAGGATGACCGCGCCCGCGGGACCTGCAATTGATGCCCAGGTAGCCGCTGCGCGATGCCGATAACAGTGTAGCCGCCTGTACTCACCAAGCCGGATGAAGCACCTCCAGGGGGGCCATCCGGTCGAACGCGAACTGAGCCCAGGTGGAGATGGGCTCCACCGTGGCCACGGAGTCGGACATCTAGCGAGACGCGTCCTCCAGCAGCGAAGCCAGCTACTCGCCATCGCTCGGACGTCCATTCCGTGTGCTTTTTTCGGTTTCGTGCGTGGTGCTTTCGCCAAATGATCATGGATGCTCCTCGGGGGTCCTCGCCGAAGGAAAAATGCACACGTCCGAGCGATGCCGAGGCTATGCTGCTGATGCCGTGTGCGTCTTACTCTAAAAGGGTGCGAAGGAGGCTCGCCGCGGCGTTGGCTGCGGTTGGCAGCGCGCGCGCAGCGCGCAATCCATATGTCACCCCAGGAGCTAGGCAAGGTCGAGCTCCTCCTCCTCCTCCTCCTCCTCCTCCTCCTCCTCCTCCTCCTCCTCCTCCTCCTCCTCCTCCTCCTCCTCCTCCTCCCCCCTCCGCCTCCTCCTCCTCCTCCTCCTCCTCCTCCTCCTCCTCCTCCTCCTCCTCCTCCCATGCCCTTCGGCTTCCTCAAGCGCGGGGGCCGGACCTCGATCTCGCCGAGGCGGTGGTGCACCTCCAGGCACGCAAGTCGGGCCCCAGCAAGGCACCCAAAGCCCAAGATACTTGGCTCGTCGACCGCCTGGAAGCCGCGCTGGGCCAACCGCTCGGCGACTGACCAGGAGAGAACATCAATTATGCACGGTACGCCGCGAGCCTTCGCTGAGTCAGGCGAGGCGAGCCAGTAGTCGATGGTTCTGTATGTACCCGTAGTTGGCGAGGCATGTACCTGTAGACGCAGTAGCCACAACTGCGACGATACCAGGCCACTGGGAGCACTCGGCCTCGAGCGTCCCCGCGCCCGAGCCGAAACGCGTAAGCGCAACACGAGCCGGCCGTGCCAGCATGGCTCCTGAAGCCCTGTTCGCACTGCTCGTGCTCCACATCCGTGACCTAGCTCCTCTCCTGTTTTCCTCCTCCCCCTCCTCCTCCTCCTCCTCCTCCTCCTCCTCCTCCTCCTCCTCCTCCCATGTTCCTTTTAAATGACTCCTTCCTGTCGCACCCCCCAGACGTGTCATTAGGCGGGCCGGGCGTTTCGCTCGAGCCTTCCTCACCACTGAGAATCCTGAAAGTTGCAACATACAGCAGCGACACGGACGGTGGGGGGGAGTCCCACCAGCCCTCTGGGCGTAGGTGGTCTAGAGCAGATCCTCTTCCACCCCTCCCTCTTCCCCCTTGGGGAGGGGTTTACCCCTCCCCCTACCCCCTCCCCTGGACCTGGACGGGGGGGGCCGCGGGTAGTTAGAGCGTCCCAGATGGCCCAAGACGGCTCCAAGAGCGCCTCAGAGAACCCAAGATGAGCTCCAAGATGGCTCAAGATAGCGCAAGATCGCTCGAGATGGCTCCTAAGATGGTTCCAAGAAGCCCAAAGACGGCCCCAAGATAACTCCAAGTGGCCAAACAGCTCCCCAAGGAGGCCCCGAAGAGGCCAAAATCGTCCCAAAACCTAAGGAAAATCAATGATTTTTGCTTTCTCGCCTTTTCGCTTCCGATGGCCATCCGAGGCCTGGAGATGGTTCCAAGATGGCCCAAGAGGGCCCCAAGAGAGCCCCAAAAGAGCCCCAAGACGGCCCCAAGAGCGCCCAAGAGCACTCCAAGAGCGTTCCAAGAGGGGTCCAAGAGGCGATTTTAGGGGCTTCCGAGGGGGGACGCTAATTAAACCCCCCCTCTTGTTTGATCGATCTCCTCCAAGATGGCCCCAAGAAGCGCCCAGGAAGCCCCAAGAGGTCCCAAGATGGCCCCAAAATGGCCCCAAGAGGCCCCCAAGAGGCCCCCCGGAGGCCCCCAAGAGACCCCCAAGAGGCCCCAAGAGCCCCCCCAGATGCACCCAAGATGCTCCAAGAGGCCTCGGCGAGAATGCCTAATCATTGATTCTACACAGGTTTTAGCCACATGGAGGCCTCTTGGGGGGGGGCACGGATTAAGATGACTCCAAGAGCGTCTGGGAGAGCCCAAAATGACCTCCAAGATGGCTCAAGATATCCCAAGATGTCTCATAATGGCTTCCTCTGTGTGCTGCCCACTTCTCTGATCGAGGCAATTCCTCTGGGCATCGTTTCTGGATGGGCTGGTGGGGATTCGCGAAGCGACAACAATTCATCAGAATGGGGCTCTCGTCGTACCAACGCGCGCATGCGTCTTGGAACCAAAGCTCGCTAGAGCTACAAGGATGGAGGAGAGGTCGTTTTCAAGATTGAACTATCGCTCCAACGCCGCGCATATTTGTCTCCAGAGCTTGCAACGGCTACCAGGATGGAGGGCGGTTCCTTGTCAATTGAGTTCTCGCATTAACACAGCGTGTGTTGATCGACATATTGCAAAAAAATACACGGGTTGGGGGCGATTCCAGTTCAAACCGGGACTCTCGCCCTAGCGCCGCGCTCGCTTAGTGCAAAACCTTGCAACACTTACCGGGATAGAGGGCGGGTCGTTACCACAATGGGGCTCTCACCTTAGCGCCGCGCACAGTCGTCTGAAAATACAACAGTTACATCGATAGAGGACGGCTACATTTCACAATGGGGCTCTCTGCTTGAGACCTTCTAGGACCTAGAAAGTCGAAAAGACCAAATAATTAAACATGTAACTGTTTCACAAATGCAATGCGAGTCCTGTTCGGACTAAAATCTCGTTTGAAACGTCTTCGAAGGTCATGGCCGAAGTACAGCGTTGCGCAACAGTTACACAAATGACGGGGAGGTCCTTTTCAGCATGAGGATATCGCTGGACAGCCTGCTGAGCTATATGACCATATCTTCGCACATGCCTTACTATTCGAAAGAAAGGTGCAAAACACTTCCTTTCTCGAAACGGAGCGATCGCCTGAATGGCAAGCCGATAGGGAAGCGGCACATCAAGAGACACATATTGCAATGGAAAAAGACGCGTATAAAATTGTGACGAGTGAACTGGGGACGGGAGGGTGCACGGTAGCATACTTGCTGTATCTTGGGTGAACTCAAGTCCTCCTCCTCCGCCTCCTCCTCCTCTCTTGTCCTCCCCCTGCTCATCCATCCCTCACCTCCTCCCTCCTTCGCCGTCCTCCTCCTCATCCTCCGCTTCCCTCTCGCCGTCCTGTTCCCTTTCCCCCTCTCCAACTCCCCCCCTCCACCTCCTCCACCTCATCCTCCTCCGCCTCCTTCTCCGCCTCTTCCTCCTCCTCGTCCCCCCTCCCCCTTCCCCTCCCTCTTCTCCCTCCTCTCCTCCCCCGTCCTACCTCTCCGCCCCTCCCCTCACCCATGTCCTTCCACCTTCCCCTCCCTCCCCCTCCCCCTTTTCCCCTACCCTTCCCCCTCCGCGTCCTCCTCCCCGTCCCCATCTCCCCCCCCCCCCCCTCCCTCCCTCCCCCCTCCCCATCCCGCTCCCCCCTCCCCCTCCTCGCGCCCCCTCCTCCCTCCTCCCCCTCCCCTTCCCATCCTCCCTCCCCCCGTCCCCCTCCAGGAGGACGGGCGGGCCGCCTCGCTGCGGGTGTGGCCCGCGCCGCCCAGGGTGCGGTACCTCGGACGCGCGCCTGCTCGGCACCATCGCCGCCCGCTCGGGCAGGCTGGAGCGTCGCCGCCGATCAGCATCAGCATTCCCACGAATAGCATCATCGTCATCGACGTCCTCGGCCACATAGCACCACCATGATCAGCGCAACTAGCATCACCATTGGCATCGTCGTCGTCGCCGTCGTCTGTCCTTCATCGTCATGGCCATCATCAATTGGTCAACAGTTGGTTGTCAAACGCATCCCAAACATAATCCTCAGCATTATCCCCTTCATCACCAGCAGCAGCAACAGCATCCTCATCGTAATCATCATATGGGCCATAATCATGCGCAGTACATCCTCACCGCCATCCCCAGCATCAACATCATCATCGCCGTCGTCATCCCAACCCGCAGCAGCATCATCACACTCATCATCGAAAGCAACACCGTCATCATCATAATCGTCATCATCAACACACAGCATCAGCAGCACCATCGTCAGCATCACCATCACCATCATCATCAGCAGCAGCATCATCACCACCACCACAATCAGATCATCAGCAGCATCATCATTGCCAACATAATCACCATCACCATCACCAGCATCATCATCATCATCATCAGCATCATGAACATCAGCTTCATCACCGCCATGGCTCCTCGGGCCCGTACTGCCTGGCTGGAGTCGCTCTCCAGTCACCGGTGGCCGACACACCCGCGCGGCGGGGCGCAGACACAAGAGGGTGTCTGACCATCGGGCAGCCGTTGCGTCTGCAACGCACGGTTGCGGTTCCTTGCCAGAGCCCAAGGCATCGGGTGATCATGTGTATTCACACCACTGCGACCACAAATCATCATCTTGCTGCACCAGATCCGGCCCTTGTGCAAAGGTGGTGCAGGCGTTAACGTCCCTTTACATCCTCTTGGGCCCGATGTGTCCCCCGTGCGCTGGCGGCCCGTCGCCAGGCAGTCAATGCGCTCGGCCTATCCATTGTGTGCCCTTCGTCCTCTTCCTCGTCCGCAGCTCACTGGGATATGCTACTGGGTGAAAAAGACACCTCTGCCGCGGCAGCGCTGCGTACCTTCACCGCGGTCCTCTTGTACATCAAAGTGGTGTTCACCGTTGTTTCTTTCAGTCAGGCTCGGTCCTACAACGAAAAAGACTGACCGCGACTGGGTCTGGCGCCCCCACTGTGCCAGCGGTTGGTGTGCAGTCTCCAAGTTGGCACCAGCGCTATGTGTCATTGCGTTGCAATTATTATTGCGGTTTTCCGGTATGTGCCCCATTCGGTGTGGGTGTGTGCCCCATGGTGGGCATTTCATCTAGCAGCGCTTCATCGGGGAATGCGTCATTGAGTGCCTGATCGTGGAGTGTTTCGTCGTGGCGTGCCTCATTGCGGCGTTATTCACCATGAAAGTTGCGCGGGAATGCGTCGCCGTTGGGTACCTCACCCTCGCGGGCTGTTCGCGAAGTCTACAGTTCTTTATCCTCACAAGGGGGTGATCGCAGTGCTCGTGGGGTTCTTCCTCAATAGGCTCGGGCAAATCTTCATATCGGTGCTCGGGCCCATGCTGATTTCTGAGTGCTCCACTCACAAAACTATTCGTCGTGTGTTCGCGGACGTGTTCTCGGAGGTCTACTTCACGGTGGTGCGCTGCACGGATGCGGTCTGTCATCATCGATGCGCGTCTCATCACCGAAGCGTGATTCGCGGAAGCGCGTTTCGAGGAGGTGCGCGTCATTATCATGACATTGTTAGCATAGGCGTGCTTCAACATCGATTTGTGCTTTACGGAGGCGCATTCATAATGGAGGCGGGCTGCATCATGGAGGCGAACTTCCCCAGGCGCGCTTCATGGAAGCGTTCTTGACGGAGGCAGGCTTCATCACGAGCCGTGCTCCATCGGGGAGGCCCGCTTCGCAGAGGCCCTCTTCATCATGGAAACGTGCTCTACAGAGGCGCATTTCATCCTGCAGGCGCGCTTCATGGTGGCGTGCGCCACGGAAACGCTCTTCATCATCATGGAGGCGTGTTTCATCACTGGGGCGTGCTTCACGGAGGCGTGTTTCGCGGAGGTGCGGAGGTGCACTTTATTATCCAGGTCTGCGTCGCGGAGGCGTGCTTCGTCATCGAATTTGCTTTACGGAGGCAAGTTTCACCATGGAGGCGTGATCCATCATGGAGGCGAGCTTCCTCGGAGAGACGTGCATCATCGAACTGTGCTTCACCAAGGCGAGCTTCACAGAGGTCTGTTCCAAGGAAGTGTGCGCCATCGAGGAGGCGTGCTCCACGGAGGCGCGTTTCAAAGCTAGTTGTGTTTCGCGGAGGCCTGCTTCATCATGGAGGCGTGCTTCACAGAAGCGTGCTTCGGCGTGTCCCTCCTTTCCTGGGTGGTGACGTATGCAGGGTCCTCATCTGCATGGTTCCTCGGGCACGTACTGCCTGGCTGGAGTCGCTCTCCAGTCACCGGTGGCCGACACACCCGCGCGGCGGGGTGCACACACAACAAGGTGTGTCGGACCATCGGGCGGCCGCTGCGTCTGCAACGCGCGGTTGCGGCTCCCCGCCAGAGCCCAAGGCATCGGGTGATCATGTGCATTCACACCACTGCGACCACAAATCATCATCATCAGCATCATCAGCATCAGCAGCAGCATCATCATCACCACCAACACCACCACCATCACAACCATCATCATCATCATCAGATCATCATCATCAACATCATCATCGTCGTCATCATCATAATCAGCATCATCATCATCAGCAGCATCATCATCATTATGTTTCTGGCGCTGCCCTCCTCCTTCGTGTCCCATCTCCCTCCCGCTCCCTCATATCCCTCTCCCTCATCCTTTCTGTTCCTCCTGCTCCCCCTGCCTCCTCCATCACCAAACTCAATCCATCCCTCCTCCTGTCCCTCCTCCTCCTCCACCTCCGCTCCTCCTCCTCCTCCTCCTCCTCCTCCTCATCCTCATCATCATCATCGTCATCATCATCACCACCATCACCACCACCATCACTATCACCATCACCACCACCATCACCATCACAACCATCGCGATGATGATCATCATCAGCAGCAGCATCATCATCATCATCAGCATCAGCAGCATCATCAGCATCACCATCATCATCAATAATCATCATGGGCATCAGCATCAGCATAATCATCAGCAGCATCATCAGCATCAGCAGCAGCATCAGAATCAGCATCATCAATCATCATCCGCATCACCATCCGCATCATCATGAATATCATCAGTAGCAGCATCATCATCGTCATCGTCATCATCATCATCATCACCATCATCCTGAATGATCATCATCAGCATCAGCATCAGCATCATCATAAGCCTTATCAGTAACAGCATCAGAATCGTCATCGTCATCGTCATCATCACCATCATCAGCAGCATCATCGTTATCATCATCAGCATCATCATCACCATCAACATCATCATCATGATCCTCCTCCTCCGCAAGCCACGACAGGTGAGTGGGAGAAGAATGGGGCGAGGGAGGAGAGGGAGGAGAAGGAGGAGGGCGAAGAGGAAGAGGACGACGGCGACGACGACGAGGAGGAAGAGGACGAGAAAGAGGAGGGCGAGGGCGATGGTGCTGGGAATTGGAAGAGCATCGCCCTCGTCCTCGTCGTCAGCGTCTGCCCCACGCCTTCCTGCCTCTCCAGGCTTGGGTCGTCCCGGGCACACGCTCGGCCGCTGCAGGCTGGTCATGTCCAGGCGCCACGTGGGCGACCGGTCGGGCGATGAGACGACGGTCGTCTTCAACTGCAGGGAGGGGCAGCTCCCGTCTCTGCGGCCACTCTCTCCCCCATTGCCTCCAGCGCCCTTCCTCCCCATCTTCCCCTCATCCCTCCTGCACGCCCGCCCCCTCCCCCAAGCCCCGTCCGCGCCCATGACTCCAAGAGGTACCCCTGGGGTAGGCGGAGCTCCAGGCCTGACGCTCACGACGGAAGCAGCAGCAGCAGCATTTGATGCTATATTCGTAGCTCTGAGTTCCTCCCTATCTGACCTGCGAGGCGAGGACGTCGTAACAGTGGAGTTCGGCATATACGCTGATTTCCGCCTGATATTCGATAGCGCTCGCCTCTTCTCTTTACTGCTTCTCTCCCTCCTACTGTTTGAATGCGTGGTGTTCCGCGCTTTGCTCGCACTTATCGTGCGTATGCCATATACTCTCTGCGCGTGTGTCGTGGTGCACGTATACTTGAGTTCTTTGGCTTTGGAAAAATGAAAGTACGTGATCATGCCACGCTCGTTGCATGCCGAGGGCCCCTGAGAGTCACGCGAGGGGAGTGCGAGGTCGAAAAGCGATCGTGGAAGTCTCGAGTATGGACGACGACGACTCCTATCCTCCTCTGCCTAGCTCTCTTGCCGAATCTCTTATCCATACTGTGCGACCAGCATCAGCATGCTCCTCCTGATCATGCTCCTCCTCCTCCTCCTCCTCCTCCTCCTCCTCCTCCTCCTCCTCCTCCTCCTCTTCATCATCCTCATCCTCATCCTCATCCTCATCCTCATCCTCCTCCTCCTCCTCCTCCTCCTCCTCCTCCTCCTCCTCCTCCTCCTCCTCATCATCATCATCATCATCATCATCATCATCATCATCATCATCATCATCATCATCATCATCATCATCATCATCATCATCATCATCATCTCATCATCCTCATCCTCATCCTCATCCTCATCCTCATCCTCATCCTCCTCCTCCTCATCCTCATCCTCCTCATCCTCATCCTCATCATCATCATCATCATCATCATCATCATCATCGTCATCATCATCATCATCATCATCATCATCATCATCATCATCATCATCATCATCATCATCATCATCATCATCATCATCATCATCATCATCATCATCATCATCATCATCATCATCATCATCATCACATCATCACCATCATCATCATCATCATCATCATCATCATCATCATCATCATCATCATCATCATCATCATCGTCATCATCATCAGCATCAGCATCATCATCATCATCATCATCATCATCATATCCGTATCGTCCTGAGTATCATCATTATCGTCAGCAGCATCATCATCATCATCAGCATGGTCATCATCATCATCATCATCCTCATCCTCATCCTCATCTTCATTATCATCCTCATCATTCTCGTCATGATCATCATCATCATCATCCACATCATCAGCATCATCATCATCATCATCAACATCATCATCACCATCATAATTATCATTTGAAGCAGCACCATCAGCAGCAGCATCATTAGCATCAGCATCATCATCAACATCATCATCATCATCATCATCATCGTCTTCGTCATCGTCATCATCATCAGCAACAGCATCGTCAGCATCCGCATCAACATCATCATCATCCTCATCATCATCCACATCATCATCATCATCACCAAAGCCATCTCATCTTCATCATTATCATCACAAACATAATCGTCATCATAAGCATCATCATCAGCAGCAGCAGCATCATCAGCATCAGCATCAGCACCAGTATCAGCATCGGCATCATCATCATCATCATCATCCTCATCATCGTCATCGTCATCGTCATTTTCATCGTCAGCAGCATCATCATCAGCAGCATCAGCATCATCATCATCGTCATCATCATCATCATCAGAATCAGCATCCTCATCATCATCATCATCATCATCAGCATCATCATCCCCTCCCCCACCCCTCCCTCGTCCGCCTCCCCCTCCCTTTTCTCCTCCTCCTCCTCCTCTTCCTCCTCCTCCTCATCATCAGCACCATCAACATCATCATGAGCATCATCGTCATCAGCATCAGTATCATCATTAGCAGCAGCATCATCTCATCAACAGAATTATCATCAGTATCACCATCATCAGCATCACCATCCACATCAGCATCAGCATCAGCATCACCATCATCGGCAGCATCATCATCAACCCCACCAACACCACCATTATCATCATCATCATCATCATCATCATCATCATCATCATCATCATCATCATCATCATCATCGTCATCATCATCATCATCATCATCATCATCATCATCATCATCATCATCATCATCGTCAGCATCATTATCATCAGCATCATCAGCATCATCAGCATGGTCATCATCAGCAGCAGCATCACAATCATGATCACAATCTTCAATCAGCATCATCATCATAATTATCATCATCATCCCCCTCCTCCACCCCCTTCCCCCTCTCCCTCCGTTTCCTCCTCCTCCTCCTCCTTCTCTTCCTACGCCACCAAATCCCCGAATCCATGTTCGCTAGAACCCTCAACCCTGCAATTCTCTTCCCCCTCCACCTGATCCGCCCTTATCCCGCATTCTCCACCTCCTAATCCGCCGATCTCTTCGTCCTATTCATCTTCATACTTCATGCCATCATCGAAAAAGTGATCGTCGTGATCCTCGTCAACGTCGTAATCCATGTGCTGGTCGTCATCATCACCATTTCCACCCACCATCAAATATCAACCATACACATATCGTCGTGATCGTCTTGCTCATCATCGTCATCATCGTCGTCAGCATCGTCATAATCAGGGTCCGTGTTAGTCGTCGTGCGCTCACCAGCCGCAACAACAGAACGGCCATCACCCTCATCGCCAACGCTGCACTCATCATCATGGCTGTTTACGTCGTCACCACCGTAGTCACTGTCTTCCCTCTGCGGCGAAGGGCTGCCGAGCAGACGCGCGGCTCAGTGGAGAAGCCTCCTGCTGGGCCTGAACGTCCCCCAAGGACCTCGCCGTCCGGTACCTGGACGCCCCGCTCTGCGTCGCGAACGGCGCCTCTCCCGCCTCCTCCACATTTCTCGCCTTCCCGCCGTCAGCCTCCCCCTCCCCGCCGTCATTCCTCCTCCGCCTGCTCCTCATCATCGTTGTCATCCTCCTCGTCTTGCCCCCGATACCCCCACCTGAATTAGCCATCATCCTATCACTCATGATATCCCTCCTCGTCCTCATCCTCATCCTCCTCCGCCTCGTCCTCTTCGCCTCGCCTCACCCGAACCGACGACGCGACTGTTCGGTGCCTTTGATAGCGCGGTACGCGTCGTGGGCATGGCCGGGTGTTCTTTAACGGGGACACAGTAAACGTGGGGCGAAGAAACGTGCAACTTTCGTGCCCGTTTTGGACCCGCGGTGGCAGTCTGGGGGCCACTGAGGTCCCTTTGAGGGTAACTTTCCTGAAATCCTGAATCCCCTCGCGTTAATTGCCCCCCCCTTGCCGTCCGCCAGAGACCGAATGGTCGAAAGTACCGTGGCAACGCCACATCGGACAGCACAGCCGTATACAGACATAATGTGAGATGTGGCGCAAAAGACTGAATGGGAAAAGAGGCCGACCTCTTCCCTCTGAGGTACATGTCGACAAGAGAAGTTTGGAAATGGATTCCGCGCTCGCGTTGGGCCCGCATTGTTTGCGGCGCCGTCTGCAGGGTTACAACGGTACCGTCTGCCTTCGCCGCCCCAACTCCCACATGGTTGCATGCTTGCTTGTTGCGCGCTTGCGTTATGGCATGTCTCCACGGTTCCCTGACCATTGCAGGCGTTAGGGGTATCAGTGGCATTATGAAACACGGCGCTTGGCCAAAATAGTGTGACACACGTGCCGCAAGCCGTGCCGTGCCACGCTTAGTCTTCGGAAAGCGAGGACATTCGCCATGCCATGCCGTGCCGCGCCGTGCCGTGCTTGATCTTCAGAATACCCAGACTTGTGAAGTGTTGTGCCGTCCGTGCTTGGTCGACGGCGACATCGACAACGACGATTGTGAATTCGCCTGGCGAAGACGAAGACGAAGGTTTCGTTGCACTTTGAGCCCTTCGTGGAACTCGCGGATGTGCTCGGTGCCGAGGATTTCGTGGCGTAACGAAGCAAACTGAAACGCGAGGATACGTTCCGCGCCTGGGGTTTCGTGGCACCGTGAGTTCCTGGGGAACGCGCGGATGTGTTCGGCGCCAAAAGGTCCTTTGAACTTTGAAACCGAGTGAGACGCGTGAACCCTCCCTTTCCTCCTCCTCCTCCTCCTCCTCCTCCTCCTCCTCCTCCTCCGTGTCCCCTCCACTCCCCTCCTCTCCCCTCCTCTCCCTTCGTTCTCTCCCTCCTCCTCCAGCCCTCTTCCTTATAATCAATTTCTCCGTGTCACACCCTGAGCGGACCGGGGATTTCGCCTGAGACTTCCTCACCATTTATGATCCTGAAGCTTAAAGCTTGCAGTAGTTTCACGGATGGAGGGCGGGTCGCTTTTAACATGTGGCTCATGCCGTAGTGCCGCGCTCCTTCTTTTCAAAGTTTGCAAGAGATTCACAGATGAGAGAGAACGCGTTTCACGGGCGCTTGCCTTGGGAACATTCGGCGGCGCGTTTCAAACCGGGGGGGGCCCCCCCCCAACACTCGGCGCCGTCGATCAAAACCAAAGGGACTCCCCTCTCCCCAACCCACCCCTTCCCGAAACCCCCCCACCCCCCCCCCCTCGGCGCCGTCACCGGCGCCAGCGCTGGCGGCCACCAGCAGCGCCCATGGCTGGGACGCTGCGACGATGACCAAAGGCAGCCCAGGGGGGAAGGGGGGGGGTCAAACCCCCCCCCCTGCGCCAGGGGGGGGGGGATTCAAACCACCCCCCCCTCCC